TTTGTATTATCTCAGAATATATTGTCTTCTGTACTTTTAGACATCGCTCCCGGTGATTACGTCCATCTCGTTCAGCGGAACAAGCTTAGTCCGGAAGATCAACTTGTGACCAACAAACATGACAATGAACAAGATCAAGCTAATGTACGCTGTGAAAAAGGAGCTGGTATCCCACTCGATAAACACCTGAAATCCACTCGTAATGATAATCAACACGCTGAAGAACAGACCATACCAAGATAAATATGGCTGCAAAGGCGCAACGTAGGGCAATTCGGATCGAGAAATCCCTTGAAGAGCCAGGGCCTTCATGAAACGGATGTGACAGAGCGAAATGATAGCCCATGCGATAAATCCCGCAACAGAGGTAATGCTCAAGAACCAGTTGAACACAACAGTTCCGTCGTTGGATAGATTGAGGAAAGACAAAAAGCCGACAGCGGCGCAAACACCGACGGCATTATAAGGCGTTCCAAATCTGTTGGTCTTCTTCAGAAATGCCGGTGCGTGGCCCGAATCTGCCAGAGAAATGAGAATGCGGCTGCTGGAATACACATCCGAGTTTGCAGCAGTCAATACAGCAGTCAAAAGAACCGCATTGAGGATAGAAGGTAGTACTGGAACACCGGCCAATTGAGCGACAATAACCAGAGGAGATGCCGAAGCGTCTTGTGATTCGCTGAGAAGGTCTTTGTTCGTCGATGGGATATTGAGACCGAGGAAGAAAACTGTCGTGATAAAGATCGAAAAGACGCCCCAAAACGTCCAACGCATCGCAGAAGGGATCGTCTTGCGCGGATCCTTGGTTTCGCCTGCACCGATGGCCACCAATTCTGAGCCCTGATAACTGAAACCAGCGGTGATTAAGACCGACCAGAAGCCGACGAAACGTCCAACATCTCCCTCGACAAGATGCTCACTGAATGCTCCAGGGTCCTTCCAGTACTTGAAGCCGAGATATCCTTGATCTCCAACGCCGGCATTGACACAAATCGAAAAGATGATGAAGCCAATGATTGTGATGACCTTTATGCTCGAAAACCACATTTCGAACTCTCCGAACCAACGAACAGGCATGAAGTTGGCAGCAGTGAAGAGGACCCAAAATACAGCGATCCAGATACCGATGTTCAGTCCTTTCTCCCAGTACTGGATGATCAGTCCCGCGGCTGTTAACTCAAGCGCAAAAGTAATGGTCCAGCTGAACCAATAAATCCAACCCATGGCAAAGCCAAATGTTGGGTCGAGAAAGCGCGAGGCGTATGTTGTAAATGCACCTGCAACGGGGATATATGCTGCCATTTCGCCTAGGGCTGTCATTACTGCGAAGAGAAGGCTTCCGACGAAGATAAAGGCTATGAGGAGGGAGACTGGGCCGGCTGTTGCAAGGGCGTTGCCCGTGCCGATGAAGAGGCCTGTGCCAACTGCGGCGCCGATGGCGATGAATTGGAGGTGGCGGCCATGGAGAGCGCGTTCAAGCTCAGTGTCGTTGGTGCCATGCTCGATGGACTTGGTGGAGGGGGTCGATTCGTTCACCTCGGGGTGAGGGTCCGTCTTGGCTTGAATATCCATGGTCATGTAGTTCGTCATGGTGTGAACGACATGAGTGCAGCTCCCCAGGGACCAGACGGCGAGAGGGCTTCCTTTTCACTCCTCTGGACATCCGATTTCGGGCCATCTGATATAGCAAGTCACGTCCGAATACTCGGGGCAACGTACGAGTGATTGTGCATCTTGTCGATGAAAGGCGAACATGTGGAGTCATGGAGTCACAAAATTCGATATCCATTATATAATAGCTTAGTGAGATGGCTTCACGATTCCCTTCTACCCCAGTTCCAGAACGAACCCCACGAAAGATGTGGATCTTGGGCGTTGAGATTCGAGCACCATGATGTCGCCTCATCGCTGCATCACCCGCCTTGGCGCGACATCTTATCGGTGGCCGATCGATAAATAAACTCTTTACATTCTGGAATCAAAGATTCGATTACAATTTGCGTCTTGACGTAGCCCTTGTTCTGGATTGAGTGAGCTAGTGAGAGGTCATGTCTAGCCAGGGCGGATGTTCAAGTTGGGCGTGGTGGGGCTTGTTGAGATGTCGCTCTAGGGCGGAGGCTACAGATCTGTGCTTGATTGCCGCCTACCATATCAGGAAACCAATTGAGATTGATTGCATAAACTAAAAGAGCCTCGTGGTCTGTCCAGCATTTAAGATTTCAAGCACTGAGATTGTGGGTCTGAGTAGGCATGGCGCTTGACTACCTATCAATCGTTGACATAAATGTGCCATTTCTAAGCAAGCAGCAGAAAATACACATTCTCAGCTCAATCTATGAAGACAATATCTAATGTCAACTACAGTGGATAAAGGAAATACTTATTCTCCAGATCTGTCAAGTCCAACATCGAAACATCCACCTTGACCTTCACAGTCTCGCCATCCACAACCTGTTCAACATATCCTTCACCATGATTACCGAGCGCTTCCTGTCCGGCAATCCACTGTCGTCGCTCCTTGTTTCTCTTCGAGAGGATGAACCGAATTGTTATTAACAGAATTGGCGTCAAGGTGAAACTGGCCACGATCTGAACAATCCAAGCGGGATAGTAACGCGGCCCTCCTGTCTTCCATAGCTGCGGTGAAATAATATTTGAGATTCCATAGAGCACCATGAACATGGCGTTTCGGGTGAGTCGCTTTGTATGGCCGGCACAGCTGGACGATACCCAGCCAACAGAGATGATCCATGTTTGCGCGAAGCAATTCGGGGGGAGAAGAAGGCACGCAAGCATGGGAATAGTGTTGCCCCATGGAATAGTGACCATACCAATACTACTTGCGATACAAGGTACGCACCAGAGTGCAGCCCACCAAGCGCTATGACCAGGGAAGAAGCGTATCAGAAGCGAGGCTGTGATGCATGCAAGAATTGCAAACCCGCCAGAAGCGACCCAGACGAGGGTCGATCCTAATGGAGAAACTCCAAGGTCCAGGAAGAGCAAACTCTGCTGGTAAGGGAGATTGTTTGCCAGCATGAGCGTAAAGCCCGAGAAGGCGAACAGCCAGGAAATAGGATCTTTCAAACACTCGTAGAACTGATGTCTCTTGAAGGTCTTCTGCTCGATCGAGCTGCGGGTAGTTTCATGAATGCGACGAATGGTATGGACCTTCTGTTCAGTGGTCAAGAACCATGCAGTTGCAGGGTTATTGGGATACCAGAACCAGGTGATCACTGATAGAACGAGGGATATGCCTCCAGTGATAATCATGAAGAATTTCCACGGGCTAGTGCTGACTTTGCTATACAGCAAACCGTACGAAACAAGGCCAGTGAACATGGGCGAACCGATACAAGAAGTGTAAAACAGAGGCTGGACCTGGTGGAGTTCCTCAGGCGTAAAGAACATAGACATCGTAATCTCTAGAGCTGGAATGACGGCGGATTCGACGAAGCCGAGGAAGAAGCGAAGAGGGATCAGGGCTCCATAGCTCTTGGCAACACAGTGGAGGAGAATGATGACGGCCCATGTGAAGATAATTCCTGAGATGAACGTGCGCAGCGGTAGCTTTTGGATGAGAAGTTGTCCAGGAATCTGACCAATAATGTAACCTGGAAGGGTTAGCTGTGTTGACCGTAGAGAGTGAGGTGACTAACCGGTGTAGAAGAGGGAGTTCAAGTTGTTGTACTCAGAGTTATTGAGACCGGTATCCTTGAAAAGCCCAAGGAGTGTAGCTTGACCCAGCGTGCTCTTATCGACCTGAACCGGGGCGTTAGTGCCAAACATCTTTAGCGACCTGTCCTCCTTACATAGAGCATAAAGTCAATGGACGTGACAAGCAAAAGGACGTGGATGTAAATCTTGCGCTTGAGCTTCCTCTTCTTCTCGGGAGTAAGTTCCCCAACTTCATGTCCGTGCTTCTCGATAAGATCAAGAGTCTCATCTGCAGCTCGGCCAGAGATAACCGCGCCCTCATTGAGTGAGCTACTGGAGCTTGCGTTAGCGGCCTTGGGGTCGACTTGCTTCTCGTCACTCATGTTTTATCGTTTACACAAAGACGAGTGGCGATAGATAATGAATAGAAATGTGAGAGCCAACGTGAATTATCATCTTGGCGTCCTTCGATGCTCTTAAATATGCATGCAGGATCTGTCGATAATCGGGTGCCGGCAAGATGCCCGGTGACCTACAGGGTCAATATCTTAGGTTTACAGGGGAGATCGGCCAAAGTGGATCTGCAACCATGAGCCATTCTCATTTTAAGACCATGAGTGACTGTTGCTGGGTTTCTAGAACCTGTCTTGCATGAAAGGCGTTCGACTTTCTCACATGAACCTACCCACTACTCGCTTTTCGCCATACGGACTAGCAATCACATAATGAAAGTTGCCACAATATGTCGATTCAAGGGCGTTATTACCCTGCTAGTTGGCTTTCTCGGATAGATCCTGGAGATTCCATCAAACCGCACGGTTGGGTCATGCAAGATATTTGATGTCCCCAAGACTCTAACTCCTCCGAGAAGATGTTCCACGATGATTCCAGTCACTGTGATGGATATGGAGGACCATTCACCCGCATACTCTTAACAGTAAAGAGTGATAAACCCGTCTCTCGTTGGAGTTTAGTGTTGTATCATCTCTTTGCGGAACCACTGACTCGGGTCCGACATGCGGCTCCGTAGTGGGTACAACTCGGGTCGAAGCACATTAGTAAATCATTCATTGAGCCAAGCCCATAGGGCTATTACTCGGTAGCTTAAAGTTAGACAGTTTTCTCTTGCGGATGCGAATTGCGCAATTATTCCTTGCAGTAACGTCTTTGATAAGGGCGCGCAGAAGACTATACGTGAACCCGTTCGGCATGAGTCCGTAATATACACGAGTGCCCACGTGGGCTGATTTCGCAACAAGTAACCATGCAATTATACTATTGTTTCCATGTTACCAAATCCATTTATTTCCGCGCATCACGAGAGATGAAGGAGATGCATCCTGTCAAAGAGTCATTAGCATACCGACATACCATTTACCATCAAGGCTAACTTGCCAGTCCTCTAACGGCACTCTCTCCTCCAACATATTCGCCGCTTGCATAGCCTGGTCAAGGTTTGCTTTGACAGCCAGCTCTTTCAGCCGATCGATGATATACAGCCTCGCAGGTGGAGGACAAACTTCAGATCCTGCAGCGTTTGCAAGTGGCCAGACCACATATCGTGAAGCTGTTCGGAACGGTGTATTCAGCAGCTCTAGCGAGTATGGCACACTAGCTAGCATGTCGTCAATTACATCGCTGGCTTGCAGTGCGGCCTTGATGGGAAGCTGGCTCCAGGTGGCTTTAAAGGGGTCATCTTCGTCGGGTTCATCGAGGATGACTTGATGGGGATTCCGATCGAAGACGCTGTATATCCACTCTTTGACTGTCAATCGCATGAGCCTAGCGGTGTTGTAGACACGAGCTGACTGTTGAGACTGATATCTGTGTATAGTATCTTTGTAAGCGCAGATATCTGTGCCAGGAGCATTCTGTCGGTCTTCCTCGGACGTGACATTGATGATCTCATACGGCAATTCTTTGAAGAATGTATCGATAAACTCGACGGCCTTTTGGTCAAGGTCCATACACTCCCTCACAAATTCCGTCGCCAACATGCCTTTTCTGGTATCAGACAGTTTAGCGAATTGACAGACGAATCCAATCATGCGAGTCCTCGATATGTCGAGTCCCGACTCGCCAGAAAGGGCATAATCGAAGAGTTCCAAGAAATCGTCTGCTATCGGGCTTGATTGCATTATGCAATTTGTCAACACATTGATGGCGGTATGGTGGAACAGTCTGCGCCCGAATTCAGTCTGGAATTGTTGCCTTCCTCGCATCACCAAGAGCCTTAATGAACCTTGCACGTGGAGTTCCCAGTTCCTCGTTGAACCTCGACCTTCGAAGACTAATCCCTCGAAAGTTGAGAGCAACAGCACACGGAGAAGGGTCTTGTCGAGTATGGCTACTTTAGGATCGCTTAGATCTTGGTTTGTCCGAGTCAAGGCTTTGGAGTAGTGGTAACGGGCTGCACGCAGTAGGTCCACTCGGCGATGTTCGAGAGCTAGAGAGGCGAGAGCCGGGGCGTGAATGGCCTGTATTATGTCATCATCGACGGCGAGAGTAACGTGCATGATAAGCGAGTGCTCCAGACAAGCGAGTGCTCCACCAATCTACACGTGAAGACTCAGAAAGAGAAATAAAACACCACAACATATCTGATCAATTAAAATTAATCGCTAGACTATTCCCTATTAACCTCAATTGACTCTTGACAGGTCCTTGCAGTATGCCCGGTCTTTCCGCAAATACTACATCGCCGAGGCTTT